CATCATCATTCCCAGACTCCCCTGCTCCTGGGGTGGGCGCCATCATCGTTCCCAGACTCTCCTGCACTTGGGGCGGGCGCCATTGTCCTTCTCCACTTCCAAGTTTGCCACCTTGGAGGAATCTTTTAAAGCCCTCCTCCTCTCCCTCCACTCTCCACATCCAATCAAGTTTTGTCAGTTCTATCTTCCCATCCACTCCCTTCCATCTATCCACACCACTAGCCCCTAGTTCAGTGCCCTGATGGCCTCTCACTCAGGCTGTTGTGATACCTTCCTAACTGGTCTCCCTAATTCCAGGCTCTCTCCTCTCCAGTCCATTCTCCAATAGCTGCTGAAGGAATTTTCCTAAAGCACAATGATCAAGTCACTCCCCTGCTCAAGAAGCTCCCATGGCTCCCCAGCACTGCGGTGATAAAGGACTGACTCCTTGGCTTTGCCTTGAAAGCCTTTCATGGTTGTTCCAGATCATTTTCATATCACCGGCCCTCCCATTCCCTGCAGTCTCACCAAACTGGCCAGCTTTCCCTTCCTCTCCTCCTGGCCTCCTCACCTCTGGGCAGACCTGTCCACCATTCCTGGAACACTCTCCAACCTGAGCCTCTCCGTTCCCTGGCCCATTCACAGCTCGGCTCTTGCTTGACGCCCCCAGGTGGCAGTTTTCTGCCCACTCTCCGTCTTTTGTATCTTGTATATGTTTTATCTCATTGAAGGCACACGGGAGGCCGGGGAAGCGCAGACATGGTCTCCCCCAGTAAAAGGGAAGGGCCTCTCAGGCAGAGCTGCATCCCAAGTACCCTGTTGAGAGCCCGGCTAGGTGCTGGTTGAATTGAATTGAATTAGGAGAGAGATTAGGACTGGACTTGTGCATGTGGGAGTCATCTGCACAAAGAAGGAGCCAGGGAGAAGGTACAGAGACCAAGAAAGGAAGCTGAACAGACAGAGCCCAGGCCCCAGGGCCAGGGGCCAGGAAAACCCGTGAAGATATTGGGAGAATCCTTTCAAAAGGATTGGTTTCCTTTGTAATCCCCCATGTGTTATTTTGTGCATTTAGAAATGTGATGCTGAGAAGGGGCCCAAGACACATAGAGTCCAACCCCCTGCCCCAGGGGGACACCCACAGGGAAAGAGACTGAGAAGGCTTGGCCAGACAAAGAGGACAAGAAGCAGGAGGGAGCAGAGTCATGCAAGCTGAGGGAGAAGAGTGTGTCCAGAAGGCAGGACACTGCGTGCAAAGTTTCGAGAGGGCAACGAGGATGGAGGCTCAGATGCCACTGGAGTCTTCAAAGAAGGAACTGTTGGTAACTTTGGGGGGGGGTGTGGTTTGTAGGGTCTGAAGCCCTGAGAGCACAGGATTGGAAGGGCCTGGGAAGAAGTGCAGGACAGGCAATAAAGGCAGCCTTTTTTTTTAGGAGTTTGGCTGAGAAAGGAAGAGAGGAATGGGAGGGTAGAATCACAGAACCTCAGAGATGCATGTGGTTGGACACAAACACATACATTAAAGGAACCCCTGCACTGACATCTGGATCATCCGGCGTCTGCTTCCAAGGAGGGGAGGGAGTGCCAGGGTCAAGGGCAAGGTTGAGCTTGGATGGGGGTGTGTGTGTGTGTGTGTGTGTGTGTGTGTGTGTTGGGGTAAAGATATCTGGCCACGTTGGCAGGAAGCCAGGACGGCTCCAGTGAGTAAGGAATGATGGAAGACGTGAGGTGTGGCCAAAGATGCAGGTCAAGAGCCCGAGCATGGCTGCTCTTGGCAGGGAGAAGGAGGTCCACCTCCTCCTCAAAGCCTGGAGCAAAAGAGGAAAGGACCAAGGAAGACTGGGAGGGCCCCTGGGCTCCTGCTGTTGTCTTCCCAGGGAAGCCGGCGAAGTACTCGATGAGCCTGAGGAAGCTGGAGGAGAGAAGAGAAGCTTATGGGCCAGACTGGGAGTCCTGGGCTGGTCAGTGCCAAACCAGCCTTGGTTTGAAGACCTTGGGTTAAAATGAGACACACTTCTATCTGGGGTGGCCCCTTCCCTTTTGGTTAAAGAGCTTTTCCTTCTATCAAGCCCAAATACCTGCTTTTGCAAGCAGGAGACAAACCAGCCCTGCAAAGAGCCCCTGGTGGGCTGTGCACCCTCCCGCACCGTGAGAAGACAGCCACCTTCTTAGCAGTCCACCAGTCTCTCTGGACAGAGGCAGGTTTGACGGAGAAGCAGAAATGAACTGTCTGCTTGTCTATCTGCCTGACTGCAAGTCTGTCTGCCTG